ATATATATATATACATATATGTATATATGTATATATATATATACATATATACATATATGTATATATGTATATATATATAGTGATGTCCATTGATATGTGCAATAGGAATCGGATCTTGATGAGATCATGATAATGAGACTGATTTACCATTAAACACAGACTATAAATAATCCTGATCATATGTTACTCGAGAGGGACATCGAGATAATCAGACATACTGGTGTATTGTATACCCATTCATATGATGGAAGCAACTGGTCTCATAACTACTTATGTGGAGACACTAGGGCTACAGTGCAAGTACTCATTGGAGAATGAGTTCACTAATTGATCTACTCACAGAATGTTGGATGGTTAATGATACCTTATTGTCAAACAACGATTTCGTTGTTCCAGTGGTGTACCTGGTCCTCGGACTTGAGACACCAAGGATATCATGTATGAGTATTCTACTCTTTGATACTAGACTTATAGGTCTGGAAGTTCCAAATCTAACACAACTGGTCATCGAGAGTAGTGGCCAACCTTACGAGGGCTATTGAGTGATGATAGAGGATCATCCGCTCTCGGTGTCATGAGAGGAATATCCCATGTATTTTTGCTCAAACAAATATTTGGTTAGGGTCATTTTGATTGAGAGAGAAAGAGTTCTCCGAGAGAATCCGATTAGAGTAAGACTCGATTAAAAACCGTATGGGTCTAACAACATCATGCCCAGTATATGATCTCTTGGATATTAGATGGATGAAGGACTATAGGCATATGATAACTCAGGATAGATAGGTCCAATGGATTGGATTCTCATATATCGTCTGAGGATTGCAACGTAGTGGTATAGTATGTCCGCACTCGATGAGTCGAGTGAATTATTATGGAGATAATAATTTACTAAGCCAGAAGGAGTTCTGATATGTATGACTCATGACCAGCTCCATATTGGGCTTAGAGGGTCACACACATATGGTAGACACTACGATGAATAGAGGTTCAGATATGAGATATTCGTCGGAGCTCCTATCTTATTGGATATCAAATAAGCCCCTGAATTATTGGATCCTATGGATGAGATCCAATAAGAGCCAATGAGATATTATTGGATAGAGATCCACTAATTTAAGAGGCTTGGATAGTTGGATGGAGATCCAATACCCAATAGGGTAGGATCCATTAGGGTTGAGTTGACAAAGAACCTCTATAAGTAAGAGGGAATCAAAGGCTCATGGGCTAGAGGTTTCTTGGTTGTCACCTCCTATTCTTCTCTCCCTTTCTCCTCCTCAAATAGCAGGCCTAGAGATTGCTAGTCATAGGTGCCCTACAAGCCAATCACGTGAGTGATGACATGTGTTACTTGACACGCAATCTTTTTGCTTATTATATTTTGGTATTTATCACTTTATATTACTTCACACACACACACACATATATATATAGTGATGTTCATGGATCTATATAATGAGAATCAGATCGTGATGAGATCATGATAATGAGATCGATTTACCTTTAAACATAGAACCTAAATAATCCTAGTCATAGGTTACTCGAAAGGGACATCGAGATAATCGGATAGATTGGTATGCTATATACCTGTCCATATAATGGTAGCAGTTGGTCTCATAGCTACTTGTGTGGGGACACTAAGGATACAATGCAAGTGCTCATTAAAGAATGATTTCACTAATTGATCCGCTCATAGAATACTGGATGGTTGATAATGCCTTATTGTTAGACAACGATTCCGTAGTCATAGTAGTGTATTTGGTCTTTAGACTTGAGATAGAAGGATGTCCTATATGAATACTCCACTCTTTGATACCGGACTTATAGGTTTGGAAGTTTTAGATCTAGTACAACAAATTATTGGGAGTAACAACTAACCTTACGAGGGCTATTGAGTGTCGATAGAGGATCATTCGCTCTCGGTATCATAAAAGGAATATCCTGTGTGTTCTTGCTCAAACAAATCCTTGGCTAAGGTCATTCAGATTGAGAGAGAAAGAGTTCTTCGAAAGAATCCGATTAGAGCGAGACTCGTAGAGAAACCATATGAGTCTGACAATACCATGCCCAGTATATTGTCTCTAGGATATTAGATAGATGAGGTACTATAGGTACACAGTAACTGAGGACAAATAGGTCTAAAGGATTGGATTCCCCTGTATCGTTTGGGGACTACGACGTAGTGGCCTAGTACGTCCATAGTCGATGAGTCGACTGAATTATTATGGAGATAATAATTCACTAAGCCAGAAAGAGTTCTGACATATATGACTCATAGCCAGCTCGATATTACATCTAGAGGGTCACAAACATATAGTAAGTGTTTCGATAAGTAGAGGTTCAAATATAAGATATCTATTGGAGCCCATATCTTATTGGATATCCAATAAGCCCATGAATTATTGGATCACATGGATGAGATCCAATAAGAGCTAATAAGAGATTATTGGGTAGAGACCCACTAATCTAGAGACTTGGGTAATTGGATGAAGATCAAATACCCAATAGGGTAGGATATATTAAGGTTAACTAGGAGCCTCTATAAATAGGAGAGAATTAAAGGTCCATAGGCTGGGGCTTCTAAGTAGCCACCTCCTATTCTCCTCTCTCATTCTCCTCCTCAAATTGCAGGCTTGGAGATTTGAGAAGCGTCGTTGTAGCCCAACTGCGTGGATCACCGCTAGAGAGAATGATTTGTATTTATTTTTTTTTACCTTAATTTACTATTACATATTAATTTACTTAGTAAGCAATCCTTACTCACACTTTTTGCTAATCATATTTGCGATATGGATTTATTGATCGAACTTTCAAACTAAAATTTTTTGAAAGTACTAATTCATCCCCCCCTCTTATTGCCTTTACGATCTTAACACTATAGATCTCAGATCCAATGATAGTATGCTCGTAGATTAGAGAAAAGATTTTTTGAATGACATTGAAAGGTACACAACATAATCTTTAGATCTATTGTTATTTGATTTTATATTTTTGACATTAAAATATTTCACTTAATAATAGTATATTATGATTTTTATGCTTACAATTAGTATCAGAGCTATGAATTTAAAGTTAAATACTTTAGATCTATTTGTTAGTACCTTTCGCTCATGAAAATGTGTTAATCATTTTTTTTTATTTATGATGTATGAACGATTTATCGATATTATCGATTTGTTTTTCCTATCCAATCCATCGTATCGATTGCTTGCGAGCGATGTAAGGTTTTTTGTTTTTGATCAATAGACTACTGTTGACAGCTTATTGTCAGTGATAGTATTGTTGAGGGTGGCGGCCTCCACTAGTTGCCTGCCCAATCGTAGGTAGCAGCGTAGCACTGTTGTGTGTGGTGACTACGGTAGCACCGTTGCTAGTGGTCAACATTAATTGGATGTTGGAGGTCGCACACAAACAACGCCTCACATAGCGGCCCTAGACGACGACCATGCACCACAACTACGATGCCTTGTGCACCATGACGATCGCGCCATTGGTAGGCGACGGCATGCACTACACAACAATTGTAGGAAGAAATAGAGAATTAGGGGTTTTTGTTCTTAAAAGGATATTTTTACCCTTCATAAATAAAAAATTTTCTATCTATGTCCTTAATTTTTTTATATTCCATTTATGCCCTTCAAAAATTATAAATTTCTATCATATATCCTATATCAAAATTACAGTTTTACCTTGATGAAATTTAAAATTTATGATTTATGTCCTAATTATAAAATTAACTAATTTGATTTATTTTAATCAAATATTTTGATCGAACTTGATCATGATAGCATTTTTACTATTTTATTGGATTTAGATTCGTTGAATCAAGTTTGGATCAAATTTAGAAAAAAATTAATTTTTGATCAATTTTTAATTTTGATCAATTTTAATTTTTTATTGACTTGATTCGGTAGATGTTTAGCCCAATTCTTATTGGTTGATTGGTATAAGGGTTCCATCCAAATTATAAATAAATAAACTATAAATTATGGTTTCCTTTTATAGTTTCTCATATGGCTTATTTATTAAATTTTGCATGTGATAAATAAAAATCTAATTATTATTCTTGGATATTTATTTGGTTATTCATATACATATGTTTGAAATTATGAAATAATATTTAATTTTTATATGAAGGTAAAATATATGTTTCATCATGATTATAATTATTATATGAGTTTTAAATTAATGTTCAATAATTATTACAGTTATTAATTTATTATTAAATTATTTCGAAATAAATTAGATTAAAAAATTAATGAATATTATTTATAACTTATATCACTAAGTTTTATCCGTTCGGTAGGTGCTAAAGTATAATATATCATTTACAATAAAGGTTTT